AAGGGTGAGTGGGCTGGGGGCTTTTGTTTTGCTCAAGGAAATGCATTTAAAGTGAGTGCTTAAATAAATGATTTCCTTTTTTCAGAAATAAATGCAATGTGTAAGATAAACAGTACATCAATTAAAAACTAGCCAGAAAATAGCACCAAGTCAAGAAACGTTGGCCTTTTGGGCTGAGTTAGGTTGGTGGGGCACCAAATCAGCCCGTTTCCCAGACTGACCTGGGCTGAAGTGTCAACTGCAGTCTCACAGCTGTGGAGTGTCCTGATGTGAGGACAGCGCGCCACCTAGCGTCGGCGTCAGCCTGGGCGCACGCCACCCATGTGGGAAGGAAGGTGCTCTGCACAGAGAAATTGGCAGAGCTCTGAGTTTTCAAGTGCATTGCCAAATGCCAGGAATGCTAACATAAGTGATTTCTCCTTGACTTCACAAGAGCCCCGCGAGTTACTATGGTCACCACCATTTTATTGAAAAGTCTGTAGAGCTTAAAAAAGGGGAAGTCATTTGACAAAGGTTTCCTGATCTAAAGGGCCAAGGCAAGGATTTGAATCCAGCTTCCCCTGCACTCTGCTGACTTCCTAGCTTTGCCAGTGGAGAGGAAAAGCTTGAGCTTCTCATTACTGGGCTTAGAGTGCTTGGGTGGCATATCAGCCCCTCAGGACGGGACCTGGACACCAGGGCAGAGCCTGCAGGGGTCAGCCCCTGCCTACCTGGGTGGCCTTGGCTCATGCTGCTGCCCCTTCCAGCACAGCCATGCTCAGCTCCCCTGAGCTGCTTGCTATGTTCCAAGCACCCATATCATTCCTCATATTGGTATTTTTTCTACGTGCAGTGCCCTCTGTCTGCAGCACCACTCTCCTTTTAGGTTCTTATCGTAAAGCTCGTCTTTTTCTTTCAAGATGGTAAAGTTAGTCTTCCAAGAAGCTCCCGTAACCTTCTGCATTTCCACAGCACTCTGCCATCCTGGTCAGGGTGCACCTGATCACCTGTCAAGCCCCTGCAGCCCCCAGGAGACTGGGGTGCCCAGCACAGTGCCTGACCCATTTCAGGAACCTTATAAATGGATAGATGCATGGATGGATGTCCAGACAACTGGATGGATGGACAGATGGATGAGATGAGAGCTCACTGCCTTCCTAGCCTCACCTTTGCAAGGCCTCATCAGGCATGTGCAAACCAGCTGAGTTCACCTGCAGAGCTAGTCAGGACCATGCACCAGGACAACAACACAGATTTCATGGGAGTAAGTGTATTCTAGACTATGTATCTTGCCCCATCTTCCCATCTCTAGTATCAAAGTCAGAACTGAATCACCCAGCAGGATTTTGGGAACAACTCTGGTCATATTAGTTCCCCAAAGTTGCTTGGTCCGTGGTCAAGAAAGCTCCCAGAACTCACATAAATGAACCTGCTGCTTTTGGGGTCAGAGGTAAGCAGAGGGTAGGGTCCTATCTCAGTCTCTGCATTGGTGACAAGGCCAGGTCTCCTGGGACCACATGTCAAGGAAGTGATTTCACACATTCAGAGAAGGGATATGGAAAAAGAGAAAAATACAAGTAAAGTATAAAACTTTGGGTGTTTGGCTCGGCGCCTGTGGCTCAAGTGGCTAAGGCGCCAGCCACATACACCTAAGGTGGTGGGTTCGAATCCAGCCCAGGCCCGCCAAACAAAAATGATGGCTGTAACAAAAAAAAAAAAAATAGCCAGGCGTTGTGGTGGGTGCCTGTGGTCCCAGCTACTTGGGAGGCAGAGGCAGGAGACTCGCTTGAGCCCAGGAGTTGGAGGTTGCTGTGAGCGTGATGCCACGGCACTCTACCCAGGGGGATAGCTTGAGGCTCTGTCTCAAAAAAACAAACAAACAAAAAAAACTTTGGGTGTTTCAGAAGAGTGGTCACTCTGAGTGACCATGTCCTTTAAAAATCAAAACAAAAATAAATGATAATAAATATAAAAATTAATTGTCCTACCTGAAGGAGGGAAGCTGGAGCTTCATTTACTGGGTTCCTACAGCATGCTGGTGTTATTTAATCTTATAGTGACCCAGTGATGCAGGCATTTGGGGCTCCCTTTTACAGATGAATAACCTGAGATCCACTGTCACACTAGTATGTTCCTCCCCTTCCTCTCCTCTCTGTACCCCTCTGTCCTCAGGACGCTGGAGAAGAATGATTAAGGATCTGACCAGTGGCCCCCAAGGCTGTTGTTGCAGGACTCCTGGGAACTGAGCACAGCCTGCCCCTCTCAGGGCACCCACTTTTCCTACCTGTGAGCCTCCAAGTTCCCCCCCTTATTTCTTTCATTATAAATGTAAATACATCATTTCATCCAGGAAACATCAGATTGGAAATCTCAGGAGCCAAAGTCCTTCTCTAACCAACAAGGCAACAGCAGGAAAGCAATGCCATTTATAGTTAGTCACTGACTGCCCTGCTCCGGACCCCATCTACATTCCAGAAGGTCCTTTCTGGGTGACCGAGTTTTTACACAAAACATGAAAGAAAGAAAGAAAAAAAAAACAGGGATAAATAAGTAGTAGGTATTTTAGTCCCCACTTGTACC